CGCTGGTCTTCCTCACTTTGTTGCTGCCCTTCCTGCAGGCCGCGAGCCGGACGTATCGATCCCGAGGAATGGGTTGCTTGTTGGCGGGCATGGAGATGGGGGTTGATCAATCTTCCACTTAGGGCCCCCCCCAAAAACAAGAGAGCATGGGAAACTTTTAACATTTAGTATCATCATTTGTTCATGGTCATCCCGTGTAAAGGGCCCTTTGATCACCCCTCATATGTTGTTATTTTCTTCGTTGGGTTTGAAAAGAATCTACAACAACTGGACGTATATGAGTGTGGTTCTTCTTGTTTTGTTCCAGGAAACTTCAGCAAATGGAGGGTTAAAGAGAATGCCTTGAAAGGGCAGTCCCTGTTTTTTTCTGGGGTTCCATCGAACATAGATTGTCATCAGGTTTTCCCCCACTCGTTTTGCTGCTTCGACCCCTTTCACTTTTTGGGGATTCGGTTTCCCCAGGCTGTGAAATCAAACCTGGCCAACTGTAGCAATTGGATGTTGGGACGGGAAGGAGGTTCATTGCTACATATTAGGGTTGCTCCAATTGCTACATATTGCTACATAGCTCCCTTGTAGCAACCTGTCTGTTTCGGCTCCCCTCTTGGGTTGCTCCATACGGGGTCTCGAGGTGCACGCGCTGCCTGGAAGCCCCTGGGTCGAGGCGCGCGGTTGCAGCTCCTGTGGGCGGAATCTGTACTGCTTATTGGGTTGGATCAAGAGACTAACTTTTGGGGACTCTCCTCGTATTTCCTTTTCAATCAGCAAAGAGTTAAACGCTTTTTGCTGGGGGATCTACAGCACCCAAGGAATTGCGGTGCATGTTGACGACGTTTCAAGGGCAGACAGTAGGAACCCCCCACGGCGATTTGTCGCAAGATTCTTTCAGAAGCTTTGGGGTGCGGTTTCTGGGGACCAGAGATTGTGCTTTGGGCTGTACACTTGGTGGATCCGTCCACTCTTTCTTGACCTCGTTGGAGCAATGGGTGTGTGCGTCGTGTGTGTGTTTATGGTACCCTTTTTTGGCTGGTTTAATCTTGTTTAAGTTATTCAAGGGACTCCAAATGGGCAAACCGCCAGTTTTGGGGGTTCCCGCATTTATTTTCACAGCCCACAGGGTCCTTTGCTCCAGGTTCAGCGGGCAGGCCCAAGAGCCGCAGGCTTCCTGTTCCTCCAAACACATGAAAACCAGAGGACACAACCCGGGGCGTGCTTGTCCCAGCAAACCCGCTGGAAGCTTGGTATAGGAGAACTGGTGACCAGGGTTGGCCGGAAATCGTTTAAGTTGTTTCACCAACCAAAGGGAAATCAAAAGGAGCAGGTTGTTACAAGAGTATTGATTGAACCATGTTTGAACGCGGGGTTGAACGCTTCCAATTCGGATTTCGCAGGTCATTTGGACGGCGGTGATCGGCAACGTGCTGGCCTTCAGTGCGTACAGCTACCTGCAGATCATGGAGAAGGCTTTCGAAGCGAACCAAAGAGGATGTGCTTTTTGGAGGGTACTTGTTTCAGGCTGGCTTAAACGGAAGCCATTCGGGGGTATCCCTATTTTGACATACCCAAAGCAAGATCCGGGGCTTCTTTTTTCTTGGGGGGGTTCTTCATGCTAGGTGCCCATGGTTTGGTCACATGAAGTCGTGATCGGTTCGGTTTGCTTATTGAACGCCCAGGCGTTGTAGCAACCTCTTGCTCCCAAGTGCCGAGAATCACCCTGCGATTCCCGGTGCTTCGGGCAAACGAGTCCTCTCTTGTGATTCATGTCGTATTTGATTTTAGTGACCCCGTTGTCATGTACCCACAAACAACACGGAGACCCACATACCCGATGCGGGCATGGAAGGTATACAACCGTATTGACCAGGGTGATACCTGGGCCGTCCCCTCGCCCCCATCCCTTTCCGGGTGCCTTTTCTCGCGCCCTTTGGCTGGGGGTCATTCTCTTGCCCGTTTCTAGGGGTGATCAAAGTCAGAACATGGATTCGGTTGTTTCCCTTTAACCCATCACTTAGGGGGTGACTTTGATCATTGTAGTATAAGGAGGCCAGTTTGGAGGAAAGCCGGAGCTTCCGAGTACCCGCGCCGCCCCGGATATTTTGCTCGCGAGGAGAAGGCCAAGGCGGTGGCGACCTCGGAGGAGAAGATCGGCTTCACCTCGGAGCAAGAGGTGGAGGAGCGGCGATTGATCGCGTCAATATGTGGCTGTGGCTCAACAAACCAGTACCAAAATGGCTTGATGTTTAATTTGACACGATGTGTAACTAGGTCCCCCAGCAATTGGTGCCCTTTCTCACCCTTTTTTTGGGGGAGGGTTCCAACCTGCTAAAGTAGACTAGAGAGAAAAAGTCGGGTTGGTACTCTTTGCGGGAAGACCATTTTAGTGGCTGGCAAGCGTTCGTGTTCTTTTGGCCAATCCACTTTAGCCATAGTCTTGGATGTTCAACCCACTTGGGTCAGGACAATGGAAGGATATTTAGAAGAAGCTTCTGTGTTACCGACACCAGTGAAAGGTACTCTGGCGACCAGATCAGATGAACAAAAGACTGTCGTGCGAGAAAACATGTGTGGGCGTGCGGCGGGGGAAAAGAAATCGGACCCAGGCCCATTGGCAGGGCGCACGCACTTTTCGTGACGTCAGTTTTGAATGGCAGGCGCGGCGCTTCGGAAAACTGAGGGGTACAGATTGCGTGGCAGGCGCAGCAGTTTCGCCAGGTCATGTGCAAAGTTCATGGCAGGCATAGATCGATATAGGTAAACAGATAAGATAAGGTTCGGTAAGATAGAAATGTAAAGAGGTAGACAGCTATAGCTATCGAAGGCTATTGATGGTTAGATAGACAGGTAGACGGATAGATAGAGAGCGACACATGGATAGAGCTAGAGGGATAGAAAGACGAGGGACAGAGAGAGAGAGAGAGAGAGAGAGAGAGAAAGAGACAGAGGTAGAAAGATAGAAGGGTCGGGAAATAGCCATGGAGATGTAGAGAGAGAGAGAGCGAGAGAGAGAAATAGAGAGAGGGATAGAGGGATAGAGTGAAAGAGGGATAGAGAGTTAGAGATGGAGAGATAGAGGACAGATAGTTAGGTGGATAGAGAGATAGATGCGAGATGAACTCGTGGATGGGTGAATGCATAGATAGATAGATAGATAGATAGATAGATAGATAGATAGATAGATAGATAGATAGATAGATAGATGATAGAACAGTATCTAGAGAGATAGACAGATAGATCGATAGCTAGCTAGATAGATAGGCAGATCGATAGTTAGATAGATAGAAAAAAGGAGAGAAAGCGAAAGATCACGAGAAAGCAGAGAAAGAGACAAGAGAAGAGAACAAAAAACAGAAGATATGAGAAAGAAGGGAATCAGAAAGAGAAAAGGAAAGGAAGAGAAGAACAAGAGAAAGAGAAAGAGAAAGAGACAGAGAGAAAGAAGAGAAAGAGCAAAGGAAAGACACGAGAAAGCAAAAGAGAAAGAACAGAGGAAGCAAGAGAGAAAGAGAAAGAGAAAAGGAGAAAAGACAATAGAAAAGGAAAGACAGGAGAAAGCAAAAGAGAAAGAACAGAGCAGGCAAGAGAGAAAGAGAAAGAGAAAAGGCGAAAGACAATAGAAAAGGAAAGAGAAGAGAAAGCAACAGAAAAAGAGCAGAGAAAGCAAGAGAGACAGAGAAAGAGAAAAGGCGAAAAGACAATAGAAAAGGAAAGAGAAGAGAAAGCAAACGAGAACGAGAAGAAGAGCGAGAAAGAGAAAAGAAAGGAAATTTCGGAAAGAAGAGCAAGAGCAAGAGAAAGAAAACGATAGTCCTGATATGTTTAAAAACTTCCGCCCAGCGTCTTCACGGGCTCCACTGGTGCCATGGTCAAACCGCCGCTTGCTTGGGTTGATACTGTGGCTTCCTGAAGGATCCGTGGCCATGGCAGGTATCGCTCAACATAACACGGATCCCCTGGATCAGTTTTGTGGGAAGATCGATGCACCGTGTCCAATTTGCGAGCCTTCGCTTTTGCTTGGGTTTGTCTCCGGGGCGTGTCTCAAAATAGGCGACCCCTCGAAAATGTGATTTTCCTTTCAGTTCTTTCCGAAACAGCCTGAAACTGGTACCCTCAAAAAGAGACACGCACGGGACGACAACTCTGTGGTTTCCCGTTTCAGCGGGTGCTGGGAATGTTCCCTCGGCTTACCTTGTCGAAGGTGCAAGCCAAGCAAAACACACCCATGCATGTGCGCGTGCGTGTGTGGTTTTGTTGTGGTTTGTGTTTCTTGGTGTGTGCATGTGTTTGTATTGGTGGGTACGTTTGAAGGGAAGACATGCCCGAAACACCGACTGAGCCCCTGCCACCTCCTCAACTCCACGGACCTCCCATGGGATTTTTGTAAGCCGAGTTCTGTGCAGGAGTGGAGCCACAGCAGCTCCGAGGAGATGGGCTTGGGGTAGCCACGGATAAGTCGAGTGAGCTCTTGGTGGCGAAGCCAGCCATCCGGTTCCTTAGCCTTTTAGATCCTTTTAGTGTTTAGTGGTAGTTTCCATTTAACCCACTAAAAGTTAGTCACTTTTAGCGGGGGATCTGAGGGCAGCCCAGAGCTAGTAAGCACAACGCCATAGCTTTTTGAGTAGACAGTAGACCATCTACATATCCCGGGGTTGATTGTGACTCAAGTGGGGCGTAGTCCCCTTGCCATCTAAAGATCCTTTCTTACTCCTTCCCTGGTTTGGGGGAGAGTTCGTCGATTTTGACTCAGGCCTGGCGACCTAAACATTGGGTGAGTGGCCGTACAAGTGGTGACCAAAGCTGCTGGTAACGGTCAGTTGGTGGGGTGCTTGTGGGTCAACACTTGGTGGCAGAATCTGTTGCCTGCACAATTCCCGTTTTCCGCGACAGAAGACTCTCTCGCCATCTCCCGCGGCCATTTCCAGATCTACTTTTCTAAGATCTACTTTGTCTAGGGGTCTTTCAGGGCTTCATCCGCGCCTTTGATCCGCGCGATTTGCACGGCCATGCGCTGTGTGCTGATTTTGTGCCTGATTGCCACCGCTGGTGCTCGATGCAACCCTGGCGGACGCTCGACTAAACATGAAAGCGGCCAGGGCGGCTTTTTCTTGGCGGCCGGTTGCAACTCTTTGATGGTGCCAGTGGTTTTGTTTTTTGGGTTTCCCAAGTTGGTGTCCCTTGAAAAGCAACCCAAAACCACTGGCACCATCAAAGAGTTGCAACAAACCACAAATTTGTAGGGGGTAATTCCATTGGGAGCCAATCCCATGTAGACCTTTCGGGCGGTTTCAAATGGCACTCTGAGCAATCAAAGAAACATCTAGGCTGTTTCGCCCAGAAACCGAGCCATGCAAGCCGGTTCGTAGGATGGCAAGAGGACAAGCTGACCCTCAACAACAACCACACATACACATACACATACACGCCCAAAGTGATTTTCTGGGTGATTTGCGGGGGAACCGCTTAGTTGGAGCCCTAACTTAAACAATGGAAGAGCGGTGCCCTGTGGGCTTTGGGGATGGAAGTTGTGTCTCGTCAACCTTGCCAAGTCGATTTTCTCCGACCTTGCATTTGTTTTGGACATTTTCATCGACCGGGGGGCAAGACGAGTTGCGACCGAAAAAAGGGCCCTAAGGTTCAGTTTTTCGGGGTCCATTTCGGTCATGAATGATAGAGCTGAAATGCCATACAACAACTTCCGGGTCACTTTAGGGAACTATTTGCACAAATGGGCCCGGGGACAATCCGACGTGTAATTTATGATGCCTTCTTCCGCTTGGATGGTGACTTGCTTATCATGTTCAATTTCGACAAAAAGAGCATTCGGGACGAAGATATGTTTCCCCTCCTTCCAGACCCGCTATGGATCCTTGGGGGAGCCTTACCTAAGGAAAAACCCTTACCAAAGGTTGAATTGGGGATTGCCCTTGAAGGAGCACGTAGGGTGTGGCTCAAACATAGGGGTCCAAAATGGAACCCTGGCAAATGGAAAGGTAGACTGACCTGCGTGACCCCAGCCGTTTAATTGTGAGCCACACCCATGCGACCTCTCAAATTGCGCCGTCCTTGAGCAGGGCTCCTTAAAAGCTGCACTTTGCCCATTTGAAACATGTTGCTTTTTCCACCCAAAAAAAGGGACACCACCATTTACAAGGCAATGTTCAGGTGTATAATCTTGATGGCTCCCAGCCATCCCCTTAGCCTTTTAGTGTTTTAGGGTTTTCGCAGGGGATCAGAAAACGGGCCCTGTAATGTAAGGATCCCTGAGGTCAATGCGACAGCGGCAGCGCCTTCATTCAGCGCCGGTCCGTGAACAAGCGCATGGAGCCGGTGGAGGAGAAGGCAGCGGTCGGGCTCCAGGCAGTCGGGCTCCAGGCAGACCAGAGGTGCTGAGGACCCTAAATGGAGTTCGTGGGTGTTTGTCTCCAATTGGGGGACCGAGTTCAGTTTGCTTTCCCTTTGAACCAACCTAGATTTCTTTGGTGCATTTTGCCAAGGGATGTTAAGACTTGAGAACGTTTTGCCAACTAGTGGGTTTTACGTATCAAGCCACTAAAAGTAAAACTTTTAGCAGGGGAGCAGAAAGCACCCGAGACCCTATCATGGTTGTTGTTGGGAAACATGTTTTTTTTGTTTTACATTTTTGCTTATTGTGGTTGAGTGGTTGAAATCCAACCACTTAACTGCTAAGATTTATTGTTTTTGCTCCCCTTCCAACGTCAACCAAGCCATGCGCCGAAGACGGACGTGCCCTTTTGTCCAGGGCCACTGGGCTTCCCAAATACGGCAAGCGGAGGTAGGGACAGTTCCAACCACGAATACGCGCGGAGATCCGCGCGGGCAAGACTCCTTGATTGTGACGCAGATTGGTTCTCAGAGAACCCGGAGTGGTCTTGGGAACGCGAAGGCGTGCGAAGTTGGGAAGGCTTTCGGGCTTCATTTGACTCACTCCCTTGCACCACTGTTGGGGCCATGCGCGACTTGACGAAGCCGTTGGGCTTCTATAGGCTTTGGGCTGGAAGCTGGCGGCTTCGCGGGAATCAGCTCCCGTTTCGGGAGTCCTTTGACCCTCTGAAGCCCAGTGCTTCGCGTGAAAATATATCCCATCCACTAACATGGGGCCTGACGCTTCGGGGTGGAAGACCGTTTTTGTTTTTAAAGGGACCTCTGGTGGGTTCATGTGGAGGGGGGGGGTAGGTATGCAGGGAGAGACATCATGTATAACTATGGTGGTAGCTGAAGTACTTGGTCCGAGTGTTTCGTTTTGGGGGAATAATTATTTTAGGGCAGACATAGAAAGATCTCTGTACAATAGTCAGTTCTTGTATTTCCCTTGTTCGAGCCGAGTTTTGGGTGACACATTCAGATGCGTTATAGTTCGAGGGGAATCCTTCATGCACCGTTTGGGGGCCGCGTTCTCAAGCTGGAGGCAAGTCAGCTGAAGGAGAGCTGGGAGACCACATGATGTCCTTTTGAGTTTGATTGAACATTGATGAGTTCCGCATGGTTTCAGTTTGGCTCTAACCATTTTCAGATTTGGATTCTTACGCATCCCAAGGAAGCCAAAAGGGGGCTCCAGATCTCGAGATTTGGATCTGGTCTGTCGTGAATCTGCCAGATGCTTTCCCAGATTGACGTGGAATCCGGAAGGTTCTTTGTTTTTTCCCCGTCTCCTTATTGCAAAGCCCAGATCAGGCCAAAGAAGTCCAAATGAGGCGAACAAAAATCCAACTCGGGCCTTGACTGAACACTTGGCGGTTGAGTCCCTGCCCAATTGGACCGAATCGCCCTGCGAAAAGCAGGTGGTTTCGTGGACGGCCGGAGCATTTGACAAGTGCACGCGCTCATGCAACGGCGCCTGGGCGAAGTGAGACGTGCGTCTTACGAATCTATCCCTACTCTTTGGTGCATTTTGCCAAGGGATCTTGGGACTTGAGAACTTTTTTTGCCCACTCATGGGGTTTTCCGTATTAAACGGCTAAAAGTTCAACTTTTAGCAGGGGAGCAGAAAGCAACCGAGTTACTGGGAATATTTGTGTTCTTCTTTTTTTCTTCTTTTTTAATATATATATATATATATATATCATTTTTTTCCGTTGGGCTCAAGCAAATGGAAGAGTTGTTAGTTGATGTTGATCCCATATTCCTTGGTGGTTCCCAGCCATCCCCTTAGCTTTCTAGACTTTTAGGGTTTAGTGGGGGTTTCCATTTAACCCGCTCAAAGTTAAACTTTTATCAAGAGATCTGAGGACAGCCCAGGTCAATAAACCCCAGCTTAGAAATATCGAGGTGTCCCTGGGTGAAATGTGGGGAATCAGACCACTTTTGGAGGGGCCCCCACCACCCTATTAATAAACAAGGTTGATTGATATGGGGTCAACATTACTGCGTTTCCCGGATCTAGTTAGACCCTGTCCTATGGATTGGGGGTTTTCCCTCCAAAACTGTTTTTCCCCCTATACATCAACCGGGGTTATGAATCGGGGTTACCATTGCAGGTGTCTGCAACTAATACGTGCATACATACTAGCAGGGTCTAACTTTAGGTGTTTAATTCTCAAGGGGAGGTATGTACTATCCACAAATGTGAGGCAGCCAAAAAGGGGGAACCTGTGAAAAACAGTTTTGGCCCCCTTCCCTTTGCAAAGCGCAGAATGAGGGGGTGACTATGCCTAGTTCCACTGCTGAACATTTTCAAGTAAAGCCAACGACCATACTGTGTGCTTGTGATGGTTGTTCATTCGCAATGCTGTGGAGAATCGACCTTTCGGCGTCCAGAGGGCACCTTTGCTTCGAACTGAGGGCAGGCGGCATTTGAATCGCGGAAGTTGTCGTGCCAATCAATGGATGGAGAGGAACAGCCGCATGACGTTTGCCAGCATTTGCCCAAGCCAGCACTTCACCGACCTTGCTCTTGCACGCTGCGACTTGGACCGGAGTTCCGAGTAAACGGTTGCGCCCGGCCCAAAACTGAAGCTGGGCCCCCCAAACTGGAGAGAGGGAGCTTGTTTGGACGTTTCAAGCTGTGTGAAGTATTGGAATTTGCCTGCTCATCATATAGATATAATATAACACTATATGTAGACTTACAGATTCAATCTTCATCTTTGCGCCAAAACTGATTCTGCAGTCACCTTCTGCTGGCATTCTTGCACTTCGCATCTCTTCTGGTTGAGTTACTCACTTCTTCATGGCCTTGACGGCGTTTAGGCTGTTGCCCTTGACAGCCGCCTTCATAGGTAAGGAGCTTGAGATCTTGCCTTGTTTTTGTGTTTTCTGCCAACCCGTGGGAAACATATTAACGTTCCTTTCCAAGGGAGCTTGATGAAATTCTGAATAGAATGTAGATAAAGCAATAGCCAGGAAACAATTCAAGCATAATTTCAATCCTAAGCTAAAATTCGATTTGTTTTTTCTGTCCAAATACGGTGTTACTTGAAGCTAAACTAGATCTCAAATGGAATTTGATAAAGAAATTATTGTTGTTTCCTTTAGTTGGCCTGCCCCTTAAAAAAACCGAGTGACAACCCTCAAGGAACATGCAATCTCAGTTCTACTCCAGTATTAAAATGCTTAAGATAGACATTCGAATTGGTCTCTTTGTTCATTAGATTGTTGGAATTCTACATGAAATCACATTTGGAGTTCCCCAAAACTGAAATTGCTTTTTCCTTATGTGTCTATTGGTTGGTCCTTTTGTTAACTCCTTTTGCGGCAGGCCAATTAGAAAAAACCAACAGACTGTCGATTTAACTCTGTTCAAACAACTAGTTAAACGTTAATTACGTCCATATTTGGAAAGGAACCCCTATTTGCTCGAGTTGTTTGGGGTCCTGGCCCAAACTGCAAAATGCAACACGAGAAACACACAACCCACACCAAGATTACAGACGCAACGCAGGGCCTGGCGAGTGTGTAACCTTGCTTCAGCTTTCTCGGTCGGTCGTTTTGGTTTTCCGACCCCCAAACATGTGCAAACAATTGCACCCTTCCGTCAAACTGTGGGAAGATGGGTCCATAGAGAGGAGGGAGAAAAGGCCTGTTTCCCCAGTCGATCGGAAGGCGAAATTAGCTGGGGGTCCTTTTGGGGGTCTTAAGACTGTTGCCTTGAAGCCACCATTTTAGGAGGGCGAGTGTGAGGATGTTACTTTGTAATGTAGTTACCCGGTTTGAGGAACCAGTTTTCGAGGATTTCTGAGCAACCCTTTTCCTCAGCGCCTTCCTCAAGTCATGCAAAAGAGGCTAGCAGCAGGAAATTCCACGTTTTTTGTCGGGCAAAGCTTCGGCACTTGGTTGATCTTTGGCGAATTTCCTGTGACACTTTTCCTGGAGTCTCCTAGAAGGACACCGAACGCTGTTCGCGACAGCTCTTAGTCAGCACCAGTGAAGAGTTGCCGCTTCGTGTCACGCAAGTACCGGCAGCCCAGATGGTTGGTCTCTCTCGTTTTTTGTTTTTTCCCGGAGGTACCCTTTTGGCCTTGGCTTGAAGGGACACCGAAAGGAAAGCTACGTACTCTTTTAAAGTCTCCCATGGATAGCCCCCAGCAAGCATATACTTCCTTTTTGGCAACTGGCGCTTTCTGAAGGTGCTTCTGTCAGATTGAGCCTCAGCTTGTGCGTTCCATACAATGGACCTAGACCCAATGTAAGGCGCTAGTCATGTTCAATTTATTTCTCTTGTGGTCATAGTCCGGTGAGGCAAATCCAGGGGTTGTTTGCAGTTGTTCTAGTTGAATGCGGCAACTCTCACCAGGGAACCAGTTTTTCGGGAACATCAACTGGGGTTGTCTCAAAATAGCGGGCCCCCAAAACAGTTCTTATTTTTGTTTGGTTCGCCATTTCAACCACCCCAACACGGGTGCACAGACAAATGGAGCTTAGCCTTGGGCCGGCCCCCAGTTCGTGAAGCTTTGGACGAACGGTTTTGGCACCTCACCTAAGAAGAGATCCCCCCCTCCCCCACCACCCCAAGCGCCCAGGAGTCTCTGTGGGGCCAAGTGTGAAGACGTGGAGGTGGCGAATTTGAATGTCGACCCTGATGGCCAGTTTTTCAGCCTGGTGGCACGCTTGTCACTTCTTTTTGTTGTGCGTTATGTTTGGACGGCGCGCATTCGTTTTTGTGAATTTAAAGGTCCCCTCCAAAAGGACCAGATGGGGTCGATCTTTCCTTTTGAGTATAAGGAGCATGTGGTTTCAAAGCACCCCAGCCCATTCGAATTATTTAGGCCCTACTCTTGTTGCAACCAAAAAGGGTCGTTTGAAGCCCTCCAATCGTCCACTTTCATGGTCAATATCTCCCTCACGAATGCCTTTCTTGATATGGGTTTTACAGTTTATTTGCCAACACAAGGCCCAGCGATACAGTCCATATTGAACACACATGCATGCATACATACCAGACACACACACACACAAGGACACACACACACATACATTACATGCATGCATGCATGCATGCATGTATGTATGCATACATACATACATACATACATACATACATACATACATACATACATACATACATATATACGTACATACATACGTACATACATACATGCATACCTACGTACACACACACATACATACATACATACACACATACATACACGCACGTAAATACGCACATACGTACACACATACGTACATACACACACATAGATACATACATGCATGCATGCATGCATACGTACATACATAAATACATACATACAGTACATACAAACATACAGCCATACAGGAAGACATGCAGAAAACCAGACATGCAGACATGCAGACGTGCTTACATACGTACGTACGTGCGTACGTACCTACATGCGGACATTACATTGCATTACATTACATTACTTTGCTTTGCATTACACGTACATTACATTGCATTGCATCACATCAAATCACATCATATCACATAACATCACACTACATTACACTACATTACGATACACTACATTACGATACACTACATTACATTACATTCTATACATACATACATACATACATACGTACGTACGTACGTACGTACGTACGTACGTACGCACATACACAGATACATACATGGATACATGGATACATAGATACATAGATACATACATACATACATACATACATACATACATACATACATACATACATACATACATACATAATTACATACATACATACATACATACATACATACAGACATACATACATACCCACACCAACACCCACACCCACACCCGCACCCGCGCTCACGCCCACGCCCACACCCACACCCCCCACACCGCACGCACACCACCCACACGCACCCACCCACGCACCCACGCCCCACCCACCCACCCACCCACCCACCCACCCACCCACCCACCCACCCACCCACCCACCCGTTCGCCCGCCCGCCCGCACGCCCGCCCGCCCGCCCTGCCACCCACCCACCCAACACACATACATACATACATACTTACGTACGTATGTACATAAGTTCCTGCATACACACATACACACACACATGCGTCACATACACACATACACACATACACACATACAATACATACACACGCACATTAATACACGTACACACAAAGACGCACACATACATGCATACACATATATATATATATATACATGGTATTATCATTGTTGTCATTTTTTTCATTCATTATCATCGTCTTTTGTTGTTATATGCCCGGCACAACAGCAACAGTAACAGCAACAGCAGCACTCACAACAGCAGCAGCAAGCAGCAATAGCAACAGCAATAGCAATAGAGTGGCAGCAGCACGTTTTTTTTTCAATATTCTGGCACAAACAACCACTGATGGCCAGTAAGGTTTGAATGCCTTGGCTGCTACCCTTTGAGCGATGCTGAAAAGTCCTTGGCGCCTCAGCTCAAGCAGCAGAGTCGGTGGGTGTGCCAGGGCGACGCGTTTCCTGCACCAAAGTGCGCGGCGACGGCCCTTCTCACAAAAATGGGTTGTCACCCAAAGGACTTCAAGCTCCAGATCCCCAGGGTATGAATCAACCCCAGATTATTAATAGGGGGGGTGTTGCCCTCCAAAAGTGAACAACCCCCACTAAAACCAGGGACACCCCCAAAATCAATAAACAGGGGTTTATTAATAGGGGGTGTTCATTCTCCGTCTTTCCAGAAATCGTGGATGGTTTGGAAGGCAATGATCCTCTCGAATCTTCCATGATTGGAAAAGGGGTAGACCCCGAGCTCGAACGTCATCAAACCCAGGGCCCAACTTCTTCTAAAAACACGGACCAACAGGTTTGCTGGGTGTGAGATACAGCCCCATCCTTTGTTGCTTTCACCAGATGGGAGGCGCGAAGCGCATGGATCGTGTTTAGACTCCCAAAGTTCCACCTAGTTTTGATTGGCCTGAGGCCTCGTGATTCAGCTTGCCAGACCCGGGAGGACTTTTAGATCAGTAGCGATTGGGGGGGGAGGTGGTGTTGGCCCGCCAGCCGCTTCTCATTTGCTGAACTGCTTGGGGACCATTTCAGTGGTAGAGAAACAGCTTGTGTGTGTTTTGGCCGGTGGCCGGAGCGCCCCCAAAGTCAGGTTTGGGTTTCGTGTGTTGCAAGCAGGTTCTCCGCGAAACATTCATCCACGGGAAGGTGTGTGCCTTCTAGTCTGTCGGCTCGACTGGGCGACCTATCCCAGCATGTCTTGCATTTCCTTGAAACCTTGCGGGCGAGTGCGACCTCAAAGACCTTCAAAGGGGGGCCTGCAAGCTTTTGCATGAGTTCCTGTCATTCTTCGTGCAGGAGTCCCTGATTTCCTCGTGAATTAGCATTTCCCAGCAAAAAGGTTCTTGGGGTCACCATACGATGCCGAGGCTTGCGTGGAGATGTTCATTGACTTATCTTCAATCATACGAGCACCAGCTAAGGATGACGTTATGGATGATACTTGCATCCACCACAACACCGATGAACCGTGCAACGGAGGCTTCCTGGTCAAGACATGCATGAGGGGAGGGGAGCGGACGACGTAGGGATCCTTTTGAGGAGAACTGTTCCTTACAAATCTTGTCAGGTTCTTAAATGAAGGATCCCTGAACAACAACGGGGAAGCTGGAAGGAGATTCAAAGCCTGGCAGTTCCCTTCTGGCAAATACGTGTCCATTACTCCCACACTAGTTGCGTTTAGCGTGTTGGCGTGCGGTTTCTTTCGCGCGTGGTTTGAAGGGAAGCCAAATCCACTAGTTTGACGTCTAAAAGTAGGGCGCCTCCAAAATGGTTGGTTTTCGTTTGGTTTCCCTTTGAACCACCTAGAAAAGGGTACCCTCAACAGACACGCCTGCACACCCATATCACTCAGATGTTGAGCGCTCCCCTTTTCCTCGTTTTGTTTCAGATATGCCACGTTTGTGGTGTTTTGTGAAGTATCGAATACAGCTCGTCATTTCTTCGATGATGCGTTTGCAGACCCTCTCGGTTGAAGGGAGATGGGCTGCCATTTGAGCTAGGATTTGTTGCCACCTCAGTCTGTGCTTCTCCCCGGTAATGAAATAGTACCCAACGGCTGGAAGCACGTTTTGCACAGGTGGACGGTACCTAAATGGGTGATTGACGTTTCTGTGTGCAAGTGTGTCATTCGCTCGTCAAATTGAAGCCGTACGCCGACATGTTGGCTTTCTCAAAAGCTCCTGATTATTATTTGGGACAACAGTCCAAGCAGGCAAGCAAACAAGGATTGACGCATCACTAGAGCTGCATGTTGTTGTACGCTTGCGCGCTGCTGATCGGCATGCTAGCCCAGCCGAAAAAGACTGCTAAATCACGTAGCTGGTGTCCCAATTGCTCCTGCGCAAGCTGCGAGGAAAAGCAACCTGTAGCAGCAAAGGCGGCCAAACGAGCCAGGCAGAGCAATTCACCTCCCGATCAGCCTCCCAAAGACAAACGAAAGGCTCTTTCTTACGGGGACTTGAACTTTGGGGAGTGGACGAGGCTCACCGCTTGGAGATGATTGCGGCTCCTCTTTTAGCAATCCCAAGAAGTGGCTTTGTCTCAACAAAGGGGTGCCCCCTAAATCGGCGGTTCTCCATTTGGTTGAAAACGAGGTAGCAAGGGGCACCCTCAAAACAGACACACCGCACACCCCAGTTTTACATGTACAATTCTTCCATGTTCAAAACCTGCAATATGAGTTCGATCAGGTGAAGGACCCACACAGTGAGCTTACTTGACCCTCGAATCGGTGAGCTCGCCATGAGTGGTAGGGAAGCCAAAAGGAAGTCAACCAAGGAGTCCCAAGGCAACACTCAAGCGGCGCAAAGCTACGCCAAGAGAACCCTATCATGGCTAAAGTCATGGGAATCCTCCCGGAGCTGGATCCAACAGGAAGGAACGGCCCCTAAACCCTACTCTGCCTCCAAAAGCCAGGTTCCCGGGGCCCACTCCGTGAGGACAAAAAGCCCAAGAAACAAATCACATCACCCCAGCAAGTCGAGTACAATGCTTGGGTTGGTTGGTTGGGTTGCTTGTTTTTTGGTTTGCTTGGGTTGCTTGTTGGGTTGCTTGTTTGCTTGTGGGTGATGCGGGTCCTTTCCAACATCCTGTTCAGCGAGGCTGCCAGGGAGGAATCAAATTTCGCGGCGCTTTGTTTTTTTGACAGACACTTTGACTCCAGTGCGCACTCCACTTTGGCCTGACCCCCTCCCCCCCTTCACCCATTTCCGCCCTCCCCCCCCCATCCATCTATTCATCTATTTCCATTCCACCCGCCAATTCGTCCCTTCGTCCCACACCCCCTCCATCTTTTTCCCTGCCACCCGCCCGTTTTTTTTTGTTTCGAAAAACCCGAGGCTTGCCCTTCTTCCGCATGAAGAGCAACTCCGTGACCGTGGGCACCTGCTACGCCTTCTGCCTGGGCAACGGCCTGGACCTCTTCGGCCTCACGGCCGGCGGCGAGTGCCGCTGCGGGGCCTCCCGGCTCAACAAGGCCGTCTGGCGCGCCTCGGCGGAGACGGGCAACGGCCGGGCGAGCATAGGCGGTGGGTGGGGTTTGGTTGGTTTGCCGCATACGCCAGGGGCGCCCCAAGGGTGGACATCTTTGTGTTTTAAAGGGCCCTTTGGGGGCGGAAAACCAACACGAAGACCACCTTTTTTTGGGGGCGAGAAACAAGAAACATGCATGGACCAATTTGTCTGCTGAACTGTAGAAAGCCGTTGGCCAATTTGCCGCGTCTTTTGGTTTTCCGTGAAGCACATCGTTTGGGAGCAACCCTGTCCCAGTCAAGCCGATCGGTCATATATGTGGCTGTTATTGTGGATTGGGATTGCTACTCCAGTGTTTCCTCCATTTCACTCTTCAGAACCTCCAAAAGTGTCGATTCAGTGGAAACCAGTAAATTGATCAAATGTGATTTAGGGAAATCCAGTGCCCCCAGTACCCCAGTACTCAGTCAACACAAAATAGACCTTCCAACAAACTCATTTTGGAAGAATCTGTTTTTTTTGGGCACCATTTCGGGGCTCGTCGCCTTCTGTTCTTGAGGATGAACAACCTTGTGCAGGAAAAATAATTTCTAACACCCCTCTCCCCTGCCCATGGTCATAGGTCATACAGGTAGGGGCCAGGGTTTGTTTGGGGTTGGTTAAGGGGTTTGTCTTGGGTGGTTTAGGGTTGGTTTAGAGTTTTTTTCGGGTTGATTCAGCTTGGTATCGTGGGTTTAGTGCGGCAAAGTCCCGGGAGGCGAAGTCCTCGGGGCGCCATACTGGCAACCCGCGCAGTACATCATATATATATATACACTTCCATTTGCTGAAGGATTTTTTTTAATGTTTCCCTTGTTGGTTGTAATTGGAATTTATCAGTACTGGGCATATGTTCATTTTTCTGGGGGGCTTAAGCAAATGGAATCGTATATATATATATACACATCCACTATTCAGTGGAGCTATCCCTCTTAATCACAAAAAGGAGTGGGCTATAGCCCAGGTGGCCAAGCACTTACCACCACGGATTTGAAGCTTGCACATTGCCATTCTAGCTGTTCAAAGCGATTTCTTATTTTCCACTTATTTGTTTGTGTGTTTGTTTGTTTGTTTGGTTGGTCGGTCAGTCGGTTGGTTGGTTGGTTGTTTGGATGTTTGCTGGCTTGTTTGAGGGGATTTCCCACTTGTTCTCAACCAAACATTGTTTTTGAAGGTACTGGTTGCAATGAGTTGCCCCCCAACCGAGGTTTGATTTGCCCAAAGGAACCGGGCTTGTTTTATTAGGGAAATGGTGAGATGTGTTTCCATTTTTGCGCGGCGCCTTCGAAGAGAGTGCTCAAGGAGTCCAAACGCTAAGCCTGGGAAGTGCGGATAGATCGGCAGCGATTTCTGGCCTCAGATGGCGACGGAGTACAAACGCGCTCCGGCGGTTCCTTATCCAGGTTGTTGACCCAGCAAAACCCGCACCACCTGACTTCCCCATGGACATCCACTATTCGGTGGTCCATGGCCTCAACTCTGCTCCCCTCAGAGGCATGCTCCGAATCTTCATAGAAACTTGGCAAATCAACGTGATGAACCTCACGCCCAGGCTTCCCAGCCGCCTTGTTTCCTGTTTCCAACTTCCCAACTTCCCAACTTCCCCCACATTGAACACCCCCTGGACCTTGGACACCTTGGACACCTCCCGACCAAGCCTCACCCCGTCCAAAGCCACCCCCCAACCCAACCACCCCCCCCGCCGCTTTCGCCCTGAGGGGATGCGAAGCCCCGCCCGGGCCTCGAGCTCCCGAAGCCCCGCGGCAGCTGCACCATGGAGGACGGCTCTGGTGCTACCCCACATGTGGGTCAAAAAAAGGAATACCCAAAATGGCTTGCCCGGGAAAATGGAAACATGGACTGAAATGAATGTTGGCTGAAATGCATGTTGTTTTATTGTCCCCGGTTGGTTTAAAAGGGAGTCGATTTCACTGGAAATATTCCCCCTGGGCGGGCCTCCCTGCAAGTAAAGGGGAAGCTGTTTGGGGGGCAAAATCTAAGGGTAACCGAAACCCATTTCCATTTCCATTTACCCGATCCGATGTCTTTCGAAAGCCCGTCCGGAAACCCAGGGAAGTGGATCCGAAGACTTGAGAAGAGCGATGGTTGGAAAGAATGGAAAAGGAATCCAGCCTTGGAATGGGAGTCGAGTGCCTTTCCTTGGCTCAAGCATTCGACTTCTTGGTGGGAAATGACCATGGCCTTTTTTTTGCTCTTTTTTTCTTTATCGTTTTGCGGGGCAAATGGAAGGTGGTGAAGTGCCTCGTTTTCAGGGAGTTGCCAGTGAGCAGATCTGAGGAAACCGCCCGTTTTGCCACTACCAAATGCCCTTGGGCCATGAATTCCCCCGCGACCTGCTTCAGCTTCCGTAAGGCCAATCAGGTTTCATTTCGAGGGGTTTGTGAACCACTTTCAGGCGTGCTCCGGTGGATGGCTCTCAGTGTTGTCAACAACTCAAATAAAAAGTTGAGAAGCGCACCACAACTTACCACGGCTTTGCGAATGTTGGAAATGTGGCGCGCACTACCAAACTAATCCCCTCCGAAAGATGTCAGGGGAATTCCCCATATTGGTATCGCAGAAAGCATGAGCGGCTTCCCACGACCAAAGTGATGTTTCAAGGGGAAATAGACCCTCGAGCCGAGAATGATGGAAGTGGGTTCCTTTTGAGGCTTCTCCAAAAGAAAAGTGATCTTAAAGCCTCCGATCGCAATTGGGCCCCTCACAAGGTTGACCCGACCAAACGGGGACTTTTGATCAAGTGGGTAACCCAGGTTACCAACAAGTTTCTATCTTCTACTGCGGGTGGACCAAAATCCTGCAACAGTTGGTAGATGGCTTATCAACAATTTTTCATGGGGTTTCATCATCCCAACGGGTGCGAAATGGGTTTTCCCCGTCCACTGTAGTGTTGGAAGGGTGGGGACTCTGTGAAAACCCGTGGTTTGCCGATGCCAGGAGCAGTGCCCCTTGCGCGTGTACCGCTGGTTGGGCCCTTTTGCCTCCGGGGGCGTGCCAGAGCATCTGCAAGCCGAGAACGAGGAGAGATGCACCCCCTTGAAATGGACACCTTCCATTCCTCGTGTTGAAGGGAGTCTACCACTACTGGAAATATGTGCATTTGTTCCGGGGCAATTAAGCCTTAAAAGCAATTGGAAGATACCAAAAACTGTTGCCCCACTTGAAATGAAACGGTTTGTCTCCAAATCGGGGAACCCTCGAAATGGTGGTTGTTTTCCCTTTTACGACCGCAACAAGCGTACCCTCAAATGCGCCCAAATGGAGTGGGATTGGAAGCTCCTCTTTTCGTGGATAGTTTCCGGAACTGACCGAAATACATCTCCATCGGAATGGGCAAATCCCCACCGCAAATGGAAGTAGCATTTTCCTCCCACCAGCACGGCACTGGGACGGCGTTTGGAAGATCAGTTCCCTCTTGGGACCAATTCCTGTCAGGTAGGAAGGGAAACGTTTCCAGAAATCGAGCTTCAAAAAAACGCGGCGTGGGGTTTTGAGGAGCAGAATATCTACATCCAGTCCGTTGCAAGGGGCAAGCGCCCCTGCCAAATTGGGGAGGGGGGGGGGGAGAGGGGAGAGGGGTTCGGGGAAAAGCCGCAGCGGGCGTTTGAACGGGATGCCAGGGTACCAAAATCAGGGTGCCGTTTTTTGACTAATTCAAGGTAGACTTAAATCCAGGAGTGAGTTATTGATTTACCCAAAAGGGAACCCCTGAGTTTAAGTCGACCTTGGGGTAGTCGAAAAATGGAACCCTGCCACAAAGGACAGCCTCCCAAATCCGTTTGCCTTCTTCGCAATAGTCCGAAAGTTTGCAGGGAGGTCCTCATAGAACTCGCACTTCCGCGTTTCGACGTTTCAGTCTCGGGGGGATGCCATTCAAGGCTCTGGGGCTGAGATCTTGGGCTCAGCTGTTTTGGCGGACTTGTTCAAGTCAGCCAGCTTCAAGCCCTGGTTCTTGAGAAATGAGAAGCCCATTCCCTCCAATCATCCAATCCAAACCAAGAGGCAAGCTCACTTCGAACGCCCGGATGTTTTTGGAAACTGCAGGAGTTTACAAACCTCCGCAAGGCAAGGGCCTTTAGGATTTGTTTGTTCAGAGACATCCGAAAAGCCCTCAGTCTTTGTCGCTGGGTGGCCATTCTTCCCGCCGAAAAGTGTTTGGAAGCCTTCCTAAGGCTGGGGATTGATGCTTTGGGGCACGCACTCATTCTACGGGGATTGCGGCGAGAAGCAGAGGGCGTGAGAAACATGACGCACCCAGAATGGATGTGAAGATCCTTGGGCCTGGGGCTCGGTAGCTTCTTGTGTGAGCCCAAAGATGAGTTCGATCCCTCGGAAATTGCCTTCTTCTAGGGCTACCTTCCATTTCCATTCTTTCTAGGGATCTAAATATTTTCAGGAAACCATCAGAAACCCAGGGAAACAGATCCGGTTTGTGAAAAGAGCGATGGTTGAAAAGAATAGGGGATCAACCCCTAGGTTTTCTGGTTTGTCCCGAGTGTGCTCAGATTCATGACAGCGTTTTGAGAGAGCTTGGAATCATCTAAGTCTTATTCAAACCAGTCGCCCAGACTTGTATTGGCCCATCAGCTTCTTGCTTAGGGTTTTTCCCTGAAGGTGTGTTCTGGTTCTCTTCCGTACTCTTTCGTAAGTCAGATCCACCAAACCCAACCGTACCCCGGATCTAGATGTTCATTGCCCAAGTCCCTTTTTTCCTGGGTTACAAGTTGGTCCTCGAGAAGGGACATTCCTCCTTTCAGCCTATCCTTGGACCGGTGGCAACAGCCCAGCCACCTCAAGGGCGAAGGGATGGGCCAGCGTCCGCGGCCGCGGCCTGGTGGGGCCTCCAAGACTGGTTGGATGCCGAAGCATCGGTGTTTTGTTGATCCCCCTGGTTTTTGTTTGGGAAAGTTTTGGTTGACCCCCCTGCTCGTCCTCCCGCAAACAAGAGACCAGGAAAAAGTGATCGCTTTCTTGCAGTTTGAAATTGAACTGCTTCTATCACGAAGAAGAGGGCCTATGCCTTGCACCAATAGGACTAATTACCGCCCGTGACTGCTCTTACCACCGTGCGAATCGATCGCCATTGTGAGTGGAGGCAAGTCCTGCAAGAGGAGGACACGGACCACTCGGTGCTCGAGAATGAAGACGGCCAATTGGAAGGCCACCTGGGGGAAGTCGACGGAGTTCGAGCGACTCGTTTTGCAACCTGAGCAGACCCCAAAAGCCCAAATTGGGACATTTCTACCTGGTTCAATTCGGGTTATAGTAAGGCCTCTAAAGAACCTGATCCATGTTGAAAGGAACCAAACGTCGATGGCCCTTGGTTGCTGCTCAAGTGGGTTTTGAAGTTGCGCGGATGCTTTTGCGGGTACCTGGTCAACAAGTTCCCCAAAAACGGGGTTTCAGATTGCACCAAAGGGCAATCATGTGTGCGGCATCCGAAATAAACCCACGTTTTGGAACCCATTTAGGGTCGCCCCGAGTTTTACAAGTCGGGTTGGTCGATCCCTTTTGAATCGACCGACACAGCTGTGCGTTTAACTCGAACTTCCCAGTGTCTCACGGCTTTGACACCTTGAAAAGGAGCGACTTTCACTTCGGAATGATCCTAAGGACCGTCCTGATCAGAGGCTTGCCCGCAATGGGGCATTCCTCTCTGTCTCAAGTTACTCTGCTGGGTGTTGTGAATCTGAGTCGACATCATTGGGCAATCTTGGATGCCGTCCACTCATGTGTGGGATTTGCTTGCGACGGCGCCTGCGCTGTACGTAAGATACTTTTCTCATCGCAGATCGCTCCTTTGCCACGTTCTTTATTTGTTGCGCCTCTGGCTTGCTTAGGGTTTCGGCTGCGGACGGCAGGGTCTGCGAATCTTGACGTTGGCAAAACGTATTCAACCACATGGGTGTTGTTTTAGGGGACCCCCGGAATGGCGGCTTTCCTTTCGGTTTCCCTTTATGACCACTGCAAAGAGGGTGCCTAAGCCGGTTAAGTTGGCTTGTTTTCTGGCAGCCACCCAGCTCGGCGAGTTTGCTAGCTGGCTACTTCTCTGGCTCAGTTGACGAGCTCAGTTAGCTAGCTGGCTTAAAAAAGTCAATCCGCCAAGCAGCTAGTTTGCGAGTTAGCTAGGTAGCGGGCTCAGTGGCGAATTAGCCAGGAAACCAAACTGGCTGGTTAGCCAGCGAAACGTTGTTGGCTAGTTAGCGAGTGCGCGCGCAAGTCAAGACCAGTTGGCTAGCCAGTTAGCTAGTTAGCTGGTTGAGTCGTCAGCTGGTTTGAAGGTATGCTAGGTAGCTAGCCAGGTAGCTGGGTTAGCTGGCATTTAGATAGTTAGACAGCGAGCCAGCGAGTAGTAAATACTAAAGGAGATTGATATGATGGAAATGCTAGGAGCCACGAGTGAACGGCTGTGAGTCTGTGAGAAGAAATATTCAGATGTCATCTGAGTCACAATGAAAACCTGGGTACTTGGAGGGTTAGGGATAATTTTATTTAATAGATGCGTGCGGCCCATTTTGATACCGTGTTTTGATTGTGACTCGGGTATCATCTACTCTTTGGTGCATTTTTGCCAAGGGATGTTAGGACTTCAGAACTTTTTGCCAACTCATGGGCTTTCCCATGAAACCACCAACAGTTACGCTCCCACCAGCTAACATGGAAGTGCACAGACCCCTGTGGAAGGACTACTTTCCTCTTGGAAAGGGCCTTAACTTCCATGTTAGTTGGTGGGAGGGTAAACTTTTATCAGAGCAGATTTCGCAACCGACTGGTCCAAGCGCCTGCTTTGGAGCGCAGGCGCCCTCGCGGAGCCGGAGGCGTTGCTGCAGAACGAGGCGCCCTGGGATCGGCTCTGCAACGACAATCCAGGCGGGGACCCGTGTTTTTTGCAACCACGACTCTTCCCCAGAATTAGCTCCCCCCTTCTTCTCCCTCTTCTTTTCTTTTTTTTGGCTTTTTTGGGGGTTCCATTTGTTTTGCACTAACCAGGCAAAAAAGATATATATATATATATATATATTTTGCTGGGGTCCTAAGTCCAGCCAAGGATTTGTCGGGCCACCGAATTGTGAGCATCGTGCTTGGGTCTCTCCAACGGGTTGGTGTTCAGCCGTGTGGAAACTTTAAGGCCCCGTGGGGTAAAGGGAAACCGCCCCAAAGCAGAATGGCATTCATTTTGTGGACGGGTCCCGCTTCTTTTTTGGACACGGCGCTCTATCCCCACCCTCTGGCGCCGGAAGGGCCGGAACCAAAGGACCCTTCTGGATGTGTATTAGGGGTTCGATTTGTAGACTGGCTAGGTCCTAGTGCCTTGTTGCCCTTTGTTGGGGCAGGGTTCCCCTACGAAAATAGACTACAGACAAGAATCGGGTGGGCCACAACCTGAGTTTGTTGTTTTGCTGCTAGCCTGGGGGTCCGATGGGTTTTTGGTTGCCCAAAAGGGTTCTTTTGCACAGGTGCGGCCAAGTTTGTGTAAACAGCCAGCCCCGGGCAGCCAAGGGAAGCCAAAGGAGCTTGATTGAACAGTTCTGGTTATGGACAGTTGGTTGGCCCCTTTTTGACCCCCAACTGGGGGTGTACGGTCAAACCACAAGGTTACAAGATAGGCCAAGGGTTTGATTTCTCCCTTTACCAGGTTTACATGGACTGCCTGATTTTTTCTTGGGCTTTGCTTGCATTGGACAAAGCAAGCTAACAGCCCCCCAACACGAAGTAGGGCCATGCCATAGGTGGTTGAGGTCACAAACACATGCAGCCTTGGACAACGAGGTCAATGAATTAGGCGAAACGGATACAGGGTTCAAGAACGAGGTGGGACGGACCCGACCTTTCAACCACGTATTAAAGTAATGTTGTGCCTCGCATGTGAAAATGCTGCAGGGGCCCTCCTGTTTTTCTTGGGGTAATCAACACATCACCTTCGGCGCCAATTGGAAATCAGCCGCCTTTTGCAGGGGCGATGTTTAAGGGGGACGCGTAAGCAGCCGTGCTGTGGTTGGCCTTGTGTCTGGTTGGACACGTTTGAGGGTCCACTGTGTGTCAACACTTGGGGCCCTCTTCGGCATGGGTTTTTGAAGGACACTAACAACTAACATGTGGGTATATGGGTCAAAGTTAAACCACCAGGATATGGACCCCAGGTTTGAGTCCACGTTTCCATTTACCATGGTTCCATTTGGGCATATTGACAAAAGCATCTAGAAGGGTCTCTGAGATGGTTTGGGAGTTTGCAAAGCGCCTAGTGCAAAGCTTTTCCCAAGCACACTAGTAACCGCAAGCAATTCCTCGCAGCCAGTGTTGGAAGGCGGTTTCCAGAAAGGTATATAAGCTCCTTGCCAGTCTTAGAGGCGACGACCATTCGACCAATCCACTGAGGAAATGAGTTCTTCGAAGCTGAGGTTTCTCCGAGCTAGCATGGAACCCGCAAAAAACAAGGGCATGGCCGTGAACAATTGGGATGGTTACCACTGCCTGTCATTCCCGAATCCCAATCCCTTTCAAGTGATAGGCTAGTCATGGTTGGGCATCAACCACTTTGGTATCACGGAGAGACTCATGTTCCACCGTTCACTTTTGGACATGTACCCATTTTCCCAAGCCGACCTGTCAACCTTTTGAGTTGCCCCTCTGAGTAAGTATACACCTCAAAAGGGGCCTTATCGAGGTCCCAAATTTTGCGAAGTGACCCCAATGCAGATCTAAGAATGCCAGCGAGTCGCTGGTTTCCTGGGTCCTTGCACAGTTTACTTCCATTTGGTTAAGAAGATTTTGTATTTTCCCCTGGTGGTTTTGATTTAAATGGAATCTATCGCTACTGGAAAGCTTATTATTTTTCGCAGGGGGCTTAAGCAAATGGAGGTTTATCATGAGCTTTGGTCAAGCTATTTTCCAGAAATCTGCGCCTGGGGCTTGAAAATTCCCAAAAACACACCTCTCATTCTGGCAGCCCAAAAAAAATTGGCAGTGGCCATCATGGGCTCTGACACCACCCCCTCCCCCTTTGTATTATATATATATATATATATTGTAGGTATCATAATTCCAGAGCTTCTGTCAGGGTGGTCCTTGGTCCTTTTCAAAAGACGGATTGCACACAAGTCGCTGGTTTTCCCTTCAACCGTCACAAAACGGGCACGGACTCCGAACAAAAGAGACACCCAACTGGGCAACCCCCCCCGAACAAAATTTGTTCTCTCCGTGCTTTTCGTTTCCCCGCGCAGGTGCCAACGCGTTTGATGCGGGAGCCTATTTTGAGCTCTGCTGAAACTCCACCCCACCCAAGTTTTTCACTGTACCAGTGCGGTTGATTTTGGGCTTCTGTTGTTGCCATGGCCACGTTAGAAAACACACCGTATCGGCTAAACCACTGATCCTTGCAAGGTGAAGCTGATTTGGACATGCTTTTTTGTGGGACGGTTCCCTTCTCAGGATGCTTAACACCAACAGGAACATCCGCCCAAATTGGTTGGTCACCTTTGACACAGACCCATTTGGGACGGGCTTCCCTTTAAACCAGCCCCCAAAAGGGACACCCATATGCATCTATATACATATACACATATATAGATGTATTTACCTGTACATATACACATACACATTTGTGTATATGTATATATATATATACATATATATATATGTATATATGTATATGTATATGCACATGTAGAGTTCATGTTTTCAGATCGGTTCGACGCGGTGCCAAGTCCCGTTCGCGCAAGGCTGCAATGCGGGGAAGCCCTGGACGGATCGCGTCTCCGCGGCGCCCGAGGGCGTGGTGGACCGATGGGCGCCTCAGATCTCCTTGGGCGCGATATGGCGCCAGTGGGGGGGGGAGGGGGGGGGAGGGGGGGGGGGGAGCAGGGCCCTTTTTTTTGGGAAGGGGGTTGGTGGGGAGGTGAATCAACCCTAGTTTTTATGAACACGTTGGGGTGTCCCTGGGTGAAATGTGGGGAATCAGGCCATTGTGGAGGGGCCCTCACCCCCGATTGATAAACTGCATATGCGGTCGACACAAACGGCAAACATGTCTGAGGGTTTAAAGGGAACCCCAAGGGAAGCCCAAGGGAAAGGGAAGGCAAAGGGAAGCTTGTCAGGTTCATAAGGACCGCCAGTTTGGATGGTGCGGGGGTTCCAGGTTTGGGTGTACTGAGTTTTGGAAAAGAACTAGAAGGCTTCGGCTCCCTTCGGAATTTACCAGTTGCATGGCTCTGAGGGTCATTTCAACTCATTTTCCGGGAGCCAGCGAGATGTGTTCGAATGCCAATTGTCGTTGCTCGGATGTTTTTCAGGTTGCCCCCTGAGCAGAAGAAAGGAATGAGGCACATTTTCTTGTTGGGCGGTACAAGAAAAGCTTCCCGGAAGCCCAGGTACCAACACCAATCCCTGACCCCGTGCCCTTTTTATAGGCAGCAAGGCTTGTTCGGTGGAACGGCATCTTCGGGGCCTTGAATTTCGAGCCATGGGAAAGCTGTTTCACCTCAAACCTCCCAGTCTCGTCCCAAGGAAGACTACGTGGTCATCCCGTACTACTTCATGTTTGAAGGCGATAGCACGCGCCGCTTGGCACTTGTGGTGTCTTTTCCGAGGTCGTGGCTTTCCCTGTGCACCAGGTTGGATGGTACAGGTAATTACCTTTCTCTGGGCACGACTATGTAAGAAGGGGATGAAGGCTTTGTGGGGTGACACAAATCAGGAGACCCCCCAAATGTTGGGTGTCCTTTGGTTTCCCTTTGAAACCAAACAGAAAGGGGCTCCCCAAAACAGACACACTCATATCTCGCCCGGCGTTGTGCTACCTTTCACCTAACTCTGAAGGGACACCAGTCGACCTTGAAAAGTGCCCCCAGCCCAAAGCACGCCCATGCTCCTCTGGGGAAAGTACATCCACTGGCCTGCATAGGTCACCGCCTCAACAGTGGTTGGTGGACACAAATCCCCAAAATGATGTCCACCAAACAACCCCCCCCCAAGTAGATGCACACACAATGAGCGGGGTGCATGTAAGAGCCCAAAGTGGATGTGAGGTTCTTCAAAACCAAGTTCTGTCATGATCAGGGAGGAGCAGTAACTTGTGTGGGAGCAGCAGCAATTTGTGTTGCCCCGCATACCACCGATGCTTGTGGAAACTTGGGTCGCCAAGAAGTCCGAGCGACAAAGACATCCTGGGATAGCCCGCCCATGGTGTCACAGAAAGGTCAAAATTTCGCAATCGTGCTACATATGTGTTTTGCCAGGACACAACGTGGAAACTGACCTGACACTTGGGGGAAAAGATGGGGAGCCTCGCCTTTTCCAGGATTTGATTTCATCTTCGTCATGTCTCATCTGCTTGTTCCACTAGCCTTTGAGGAGCCCGGCTTGGCTCGTTTTTTTTTGGGCAAGCCCTGATCGCCCTCAGACCCCCGAAGAACGCCGCTTTGGAGGCCGCGAAGCCTTCCGGGCGGCCGCGAAGATGTGGATGGACCAGACCTGCATCGTCTTCAAGGCGCGTCCTTCTCGCTGGCAGATTCTGAGGTCTCGGATCCCGAGATGGGTTTTGTATTGCCTAAATATGGAACCATAGGCTTTTTCTTCATCATTTCATGGTTGTTGGGAAACATTTTGCATGTTTGCTTGTTGTGGTTTAGTGGGAAATCCCCACTTAACTGCTAAAATTTAGAGTTGTGCTCCCCTTCCAACGTCAACCAAGATTTTAGTGGCTCGATAAGTTAGCACTTTTTCCGGCCAGTCGACTCAGCGGGTGAGCAGCAAGTGTGCAGAAGGGACCAAACCACTGGAAGCACTGGTTCAGACCATTAGGCTTGACGGTGCCCTACGGTTAGACTGTCTGAATTGCTTCAACCAGTATGGTTATAACTTATGATCCTTGACGAGTACGGTCCGGAGCCATAGCCCTACTTCAAAGCAATTGCTGAGTGGTATCCCGCATTGTGGATGGTCCGACAGTACCCTTTGGGGTCACAGGGGTTTGGGGTCACAGAAGTTTGCGCACCATCTAGCTCACAGACCCCAGATCGAAGTAAGGAATATTGTGCTGTTTGCAGGCGAGCCTGTGGGCATTCAGCAGGTTCCGTCCAATCAGCATGCTCCAACCATCAAAACACGTATTGTCAACACAGAAGCGCCTTCGCCGGGCTCTTGGCTGGTGGTGTTTTGGCGGGTGCTCCGAAATGCGAAAGCACATGGCACCGATTTGCATGGGGTGTGTCTCTTGTGAAGAGACGGCTGCCGCCAGACCAGATCTTCTATCTGCATGTGCTGAAGGATGGTTCCTCGTTGGGGCTGCAACAATAAGGGTGTGTGTGTTTGTTTTTGTGTGTGCGCGTGTGCACACGTTCTTTTAGGGGTCCCTGAAATAGGCGGCTTTCCTTTCTTCTGGTTCCCTTTAAAGCCACAAAACACAAAGCAGGTTCCCTCCAACAGGGCACTTCAAGTTCGCATGGCACGGCCAAGTGGCATGTGCCGTTTCCCCCCAACAGGGGAGCCGCAATGTATCAACATAGGTGGCTTCCCTTTGGGTACCAATTAGCAACCCCCAAAAGGCACAGACCCACAAATCCGGGGGTACGACATGAAGCTCCTCGAGTTGAGCTCCAAATCGGAACCAACTCCTGTGTGTAAGTCCACCTGGGGCACTGGTTGGAGGCTTCCTTTGGGCGTTTTGGCGGTTTGAACCTCAGGAAAACATGCCATTTGGGGGGTTCCAGTTCCCCATGTTGAGCCGGGGTGGGAACCCCAGTCGCGCCTGACACGAAATGGTCGCCTGACACGAAATCAGGAGTATCCGGACGACACCACGTTGACACCCATCCTTAAGGCGAAGTGCCTCGGCCTTGTTCGGTGCTTCCCGCCACTTTTGAGGGTTGCACCAGGTTTTACATCGTGGGTGTTCCTGGTTTCTGGCAACTGGAAGCAAAAACAAATATACATAACCCAGACACGCGCCTGGTGTTTTCCCTTTTTCTGGGAGAAGGGGTGCCTTCAACATCAAAATAGTGCAGTTGCTGCCCACCGAATGGGATCGATCCCAAGGAAGGAAAATAATTGCTCGATGGTGCTTTGGGTTTTCCGCCGTCAGTTCGGGCTCGCCGTTTTGGGCGTTGGCAGCCCGCCTTGGAGGGAAGCGGAGAACCCACCAAATGAGTGGTCCCCGAAACGGCACGCCCCTTTGAGTAGCCTCATGGTTTCGATCTTTCCAGGGAAACCAACGCAAAACGGGTCATCATTTCATCTCGGCAGTTGGGTAAACGTACGTGGCGTGGCGCCATCCCCTTCCCGCGTTCTGGTTGAGTCATGGAGGGACTTGTGCCATCCACGTTCATGGTCAGTAGCTTGAAGGGGAAGGGTCATTTGTAGGAGGCTCCGTTTGGATCCTATGACAAAGAGTCTGGGCGCAAGGTACCAACTACCAACCAAACTTCT